ATCGCGTTATTTCAGGACATCAACCAGACACCATTGACTTCAGGACAGGCGAACCAGAGCGGGCTACAGCCCCTAACTCATGCCAAACTCAGTTCATTCTCAGCTCAAGCGTCATAAAGGTTCTAGGCTCAGGTCTAAAGGCGGTCTAGCTCAGGGGGTTAAAGGTTCTAGCTCAGGGGCTTAAAGGTTCTAGCCTTCACGGTTAAAGGTCTTGCTAGCTCAGGTCTAAAGGCTTTCTAGCTCAGGGTCTAAAGCGTTCTAGCTCAATGTCTAAGGGTTCTAGCTCAAGGGTTAAAGGTTCTAACTCAGCGGTTGAAAGGTTTCCAGCCTCATCGGTCTTAAAGCGGTTCCAGCTCAGGTCTAAAGGTTCCCCAGCTCAGTCTTAAAGGTTCCAGCTCAGTCTTTACGGTTCTAGGCTCAGGGTTAAAGGGTTCCAGCTCAGGGTCTAAATGTTCCTAGCTCAGGTCTAAAGCGTTCTAGCTCAGTCTAAAGCGTTCCGCCTCAGCGTCTAAAGGTTCTAGCTCAGGGTTAAAGGTTCCAAGCTCACGGCGGTCTAAAGCGTTTCTACGCTTCAGGGTTAAATGCGTTCCAGCCTCAGGGTTAAAGGTGTCCAGCTCAGGGTCTTACGGCGGTTCCAGGCTCAGGGCTTAAATGTTCTAGCTCACGGTTCTAAGAAGGGTTCCAGGCCTTCAGGTCTTACCTGGTTCTAGACCTCAGGCGGCTTAAAGGTTTCTAGCTCAGGTCTAAAGGTTTAGCTCAGGTCTAAAGGTTCTAGCTCAGGGTTAAAGGTTCCAGCTCAGGTCTTACGGTTCTAGCTCAGGGTTAAAGGTTCCAGCTCAGGTCTAAAGGTTCTAGCTCAGGGTTAAAGGTTCTAGCTCAGGTCTGACAGTCTATGCAGTGTTTGTTTTACTGTTAAACTCTGTTTGTTGGTTCTAATTATTATTGTGATGTTTGTGTATAAATAAATTTTGTTGCTTCAAGGACACAAATCCTCTCTGGCTTCATAGTGATAGTATATCAATAATCAGAATTCATCCTGACTCAACATCGTCACACTCAACCCGTCTGTGGATTCAAACCAAAACCGAAACCAAACTCATAAAAGAATGTAATCAAACATGGTAACAGCTCGGCCTTCTGAGAAATTCAAATACAGACATCCAGGAAACTGTTCAAGATTCAAATCGAGACTGAAATAGAAAAACAAAAACATTGATGTGCAGATAGATTGTATACATATATCCTGTAGTTCAGGATATGTCAATAAATATGTGTTTGATTAGCTGCAGCATCAGTGTGAACAGGTCGACTCGAGTTATCTGCTCACTCTGACATTAAAGGTTGTCACGCGATTTTAAAAAATTCTTTTTGCAACCAAAAACCAAAGAGGGTTGCCTGTCGGGTCGTCCTGTTACTCACCTGACCCGGGCAGGTAGTGACGAAAATGAACAATACAGGATTCTTCATTGACCCGTAAGTGGAATAGACACTTTAAATCCTTTAACGAGGACCAGTTGGAGTAATTGCAGCTGCAATAGTGGACAACTTTATTACAGTTGAAAGGCTCGTAGTTGGAATTCTGATCAAACCGACGTTCTGAGCGACCGTCTGTCCCAGACCCGGCCCCTGAGGCGTTAACTGCCCAGCCGCCTGAATACTGCAGCTAGGACTAATGGAAAAGGTTCTGTGTGGGTTCTCTGAACTGGACCCTGATTAAGAGCCGTATTCTGCCGCCATGTGAACTTCTGGGACCGACACAAGATGGACGACAGCATTTGTCAAGAACGTTTTCATCAAGAATGAAAGTCGGAGGTTCGAACACGAGCAGATTCTGTTGCAGCTCCGACCATAAACCACGCCAACCGGCAGCATCCAGGAAACCAAAGTACTGGGTTTGGTTGCAAAGCTGAAACTAAGCCGGCGGTTTAATGGAGAGTTTATCAAATGACACAAAATATACACGTTAAATAAACTAGTTCTAAACGTGAAACACAGTGACGTCCGGTTGTCTGTCCATACTGTAAGAAACAACGTTCTAGTGGCGCCTCGAATGGTACTGCGGCCGTCAGGTCAGACTAACCATCGGTACACTCGGTGCAAGCTCCTGGATGAGACGTCTGAAAGTGGAAACACTGTGAAGCTGCTGTGGAACCGACTGTTCCTCACACTACTAACTGTTTCTGTAGGAGATCAGGAAGCGTTTGAACTGTTGTGTTTTGAGTACTTGATCAGCTGATTTCTGTGTAATCTCTAAAGGAACAGACATTTTCTGTTGGACTGGGAAAACAAACTGAGCTGAGTGAAAGTGTGAACATCAAAAGAGTATTTGGTTTGTTTGCTAAATGAATGTGGTAAAATATTTGTTATATTATATTGGTATTTGTTTTAAGGTATGTGTCATTACATCACATACAACCTCCCACCCGTCACTCCCTCCTCCTCACCTCCGTCCTCTCCTGGTCGTTTCTGGCCGGGGTAATACAGCGATGGCTCGACACTTCCTGAGGAGCTGTTGAGGTGAGACATGGCTTCTCCGCCCATCTTCCCCACCATCTGAGAGACAGACAGACAGACAGACAGACAGACAGACAGAGAGAGACAGCTGTAACACCTGGCACTTTGTTGGATGTTTGTTACTGAAACAGTTAAACTTCGTTCCCTCTCAAACTCCCCGAGCACCACGAACACGTCGGGTACTTTTGTTTTCCTCCAGATTAAATGAATGTTCGTCTGCGGCTGTTCGTATGAAACCTTCCTGAACTAACAGCAGCTGATGTTCTGGTTTCACTGCGGTCGCTGCACAAACACCCTGAAGCTGTAGAAATAATAATAACTGACGAAACAGGAGTCGACTTTTATTTTGAAGTAAGTTAGTCACAGGAAGTGAGCAGTGCTCTGTAATCGTGATTCAACATAACTCAAAATAATCAATAATCAACTTCGAATTCTGATCATTTTGGCCTCAATCGTGCAGCTGTTCACACCTGTTCACACCTGTACACACCTGTTCACACCTGTACACACCTGTTCACACCTGGTCACACCTGTACACACCTTCTCTGACTCATTAAAATCTTAACACTGATTGAAGCCAGCAGGGAGATCCTTTACATCAAACCAAGCGCTCCCAGTTCGTGTTGATCAGATCCTGATTCTGGTTCTTTATATCCTGATAATCAATAACAGTAATGATCAATAAGACTGCGACTCAACAGGTCGTCCAATTATTTTAATGATCAACATAACAAAGAAAGTTTTCTCAGGTTCTTAAGATTGTGTTTTATATCACGTTGAATAACTTTGGGTTTAAAATGAATAAAATGCAACAAAACAGGATAATAAACAGACATAAGACGTCGGCCTCAATGAGCAATCT